CTCACATAGTCCTAGGCAGACCCCTTGGAGGGAGAGAGGGTGTCCTCCCTGATACAAAGTTCACCAATTCTCTGTCTATACACACATACACACACACACACATACACCCTAAAGTGGAAATGCAGGTCTCTGCTGAGACAGAAATTAGAAAGAATTAACACTCAGTAAATTTTTACAGACCCGCCAGCAGGAACCTATTCTTGGGGAAGAGTGTAGATGCCCATTTAAGGAAGGAGTTCTGAACAATGTGACTAGCTATGGTTACCTGGAGCAGAGTCAGTCCATAGGGATGTCTGCCAGGGACCCAGGAGAGGGTCTTCATGGCACAGGGGCCATGTCCAGCCAGAGGAGGGTGGGGTAGGACAGCTGTGGCTCCTGTGAGGTCCCTTGGCTGTGGAAAGAATCTGGCCAGGGACACAGCAGAACAGCACAGGGCTCCTGGCTTCCAGACTCCCGGAGTCCAGTGCACAATGCCGGGGGCTATGCTGATCCCCCAGACCTCTGACGGGTTGCCCGGCAGGGCCCTCAAACAGGCTTTCAGAAAGCCAGTACTTTCTCCTTCCCAGTAAGCAGGGCCATTGGACATCTGGATTCTTGTTCATTCTCATGAGTGGAGTCCCCGCAGTGTGCTCTGGGTACAGGGACAAGGGAGAGCCTGTCTACACCCAGGGACAAGCCTCCTCGGTGGACCCAGGCCTGGGACCCAGCCCATCCCTTCTTTAGTGATTTCCTCCCGTGTAACCTTAGCAGGACAGAGGTCACCGCCAGCGTGAAGCAGAAAGAAGCCGTACCCAAGAGTAATGGAACACTGCTCCCTTCCATTCCGAGGCTCCTTCCCATCCCTCTTTGGCCTCCTCCTCGAGCCCAGGCCTGCTGGATCCTTGGAGGTCCTGGTTCAGGCTGGTGCTGGCAGCCACTTCCCAGTGGCCTCCTGACCAGGACACTCCTTCTCACAGGCACCGAGGGACCTGTGCCTGCATGGGACAGCACCGCCTGCCTGCCTGGCACCCTCCAGGATTCACAGGTTGCTGTCTACGCCACCCTGCCACCTGCAGGGCTGGCAGCTTGGGTACCTGGCCTCTGGGACCCAGGTGGTGAGCTTCGTCTGAGCATGGTTAGCTCCAGGGCTGTGTAGGAAGCAGATTTGTTCACAGGCATCAGGGCCCTAACAAGCACTAACCCGTTACTGCAGATGTGAAATCCAAAATGTTCCTGGATTCAAAACTTTTGAGCGCTTTTTCCACAGTGCAAAATTCCATACCCAATCTCACGTTTCAGGTGTCAATCAAAACTCAGGCATAGTTATAACACAGTACAGAATCAGCTTCGGGCTATGTGGACAAGAGATGTCATGTTTCTGGGGGTCCTGTCCCCAAATATCTCATTATGCAAATGTTTCAAGCTCTGAAAAGAAAAATCCAAACTTTGCAACACTCCTGGCCCAAACATCTCAGGAGCCGGACACTCATCCTCTAACCACACTCATCTGCACAGTTCCCAGCACTGCGCTCTCTTCCGCCCAGGGCTTGGCCCAGGCTCCAGGTCGCAGACTAGGTCTTCCTGACCGCACCCCCTCCCTGCCCCAGGACAGTGACCCACAAGTCTCTTGCCAGCATAAGGGGGCCACTGTCCTGCAGGTAGTCAGAGGAGTCGGACCACCCCATACCCAGTCCCCAGGCCCTGCTGTGATGCAGACAGATTTGTCAAGTGAATGAACGAAGCAGAGGTGAGGACAGTAAGTCACTCTTCCCCCCCTTTGCAGAGCATGACTCTGAGGTCCGGTTGGGGTGGGAACAGGTCTATGCTTAAGGAACTCTGGGTCCTTGGTCTCCTCTGGAGTGTGACTCACAAGCCCCAGGTCTGGTCCTGAACAGCAGCGTCTCTGACTTCCAATATCTAGGCAAGGTTGACACCATGCTGGCAGGGCTGGGAGCTTGGAGGAAACATGAGGGCCCACTGTCACCATGCCTCGGCCCAATCTGCCCAGCAGGGAGGCTCCTGGCTTCACCGCGGGGCCTGGCTCGGCCGTGTTTCACCAGCTTCCCACCCTTCCTGCCCCTGGTTTCAGATGCTGTGCGGGACAGGTGGCCTTGGGGGCTGGGCTTGTGACTAGGGGGACAGGTGGCCTTGGGGGCTGGGCTTGTGACCAGGATGCTGCTTTCCTGCTGGCTGCCCTGAGCCCTGGGCACATAGGAAGGTCTTCCTAAGACCATGCTGGACGTGGCCCAGCTCCTCAGTGACCCCTCCCCTGCCACACCAAGGGCGCTAACCAGAAGGCTTCCTGTCTCCTGAGGTATGCGCTTTGTTAGAATAGGAACTTGATGCCTGAGGCGATTCTGTGGCCTTAGAGTGCCTCACACCCCTTAGAACTGCTGCTCGCTGAGTCCCCTCTACCCCGTTGATGGAGACCACTACGAGGAGGCTCAGGGTTTAAAGTTAATGAATTGGCTTTCTCTGTTCATCTGTGAGTCTGTCCTAGGCCTAGGCCCCTTGCCTGGCCATGAGAGCTGATTCATGGTAAATGAACTTCTATGAATCACAGGTCCTGGCTGAGGTCTGTAGTGACCTGTGATGTCAGAGATGCCTCAAAGGACAAGGCAAGGCCACAGCTGAGGGCACCTGGCTCCAACCCCAACTAAGCAGACAGAGACTGCACCTGCAGGGGTCTCACTCCTGCTGTCTCATTTCCACCATTTGTGTCATCATGGGGATAAGACGGCCCTCCTAACCTGACTTGGAGAAGTCTTGGAGGTAACTCCCAAGGGCCTCCTCAGTTCCTGCACTTTCCTCAGTGTCCCCCACCTGTGTTGAAAACCTAATGAATACCCACAGAAGCTGTGTCTTGGTCCCCAGAGGCTTGACCTCTGCTAGAGGGTTTTGATCCACCTGGAGCCCTAAAATCATGTTATTTGTCTCATTTGCTTCAGCCTTTTGGGGATCTCGGCCAGGTCTCCTCCACCCCTTGCCCTTGGGCCCTGCTGGGAGCTTCCTGCCATCTCTAGGCTTGCACACCCAGGGCCCAGACGTGCAGTGGTGATGGCGACGCCACTTTCTCTGGTCCCCAAAGGGCTCGCCTTTGTCCTCCTCACCCCCCACCCCCCACACTTGGGAAGCCACACTGTGCTCAGCTGCAGTTCACCTGCTTCTCCTTCAGCCTCGGGTAAAAAGTTTAGTCTTCTTCCTCCTCCCCAGAGTCAGTGGAGAGGGAAGGTTAGGGTTTCACGCTGCTTTTCACCCCAATCTGCTCCTCCCAGTTAGACGGCTGTGCCCAGTGACTGCAGCAAATGCTCCCGAACGTCCAGGCCCAGTCCTGGGTTACCGGAAGTGATTTCAGGGGTTCACATACCCAGTTTGTACTCTGCCCAGGCAAAGCACAGCATCAGGATAGGGTTTTATTCTTTTTCCCCTGCCAGCGCTGGGGGTCTTAAACTACACCCCCCAGTGCCGAGGGTTTTTGTTTCAGTCCTGGAGCCTTTCACTTGCCCTTTCTAGCAGCAGCCCGAAGGGTCCTCCCTTAAGGAGGAACACTGCCTCCAACCAAGCCCAGCAGCAGACTGGTCCTGCTGTGTCCCCACAGAGCAGGCAAGACCCTCCGCCCAGCCCAGGAAGAATGCTCAGGAAGAACGGTGCCTGCAGCTGAGCTGCTCAGGGTAAGCTGCCCTTTATTAACAAAACTGTGGCCGGTGGAGACACGCGTCCTGCGGACACACACCCGGGAGTTGTTCACAGGCCGGGGATTTGGGAGCGCAAGAGCACAGTTAGGCGGGGTCCCCAGGTGCGGGCCTCCTTCTTGGGGGGCAATCTCGATGGCTACGTAGAGACCACCAGGTCCGAGGAGGCTCCCAGGCTCCCTCTGCGTCTGGGCCAGGTTGAAGAGTCAGCCACAGCCATGCAGTGAAGGTCAAGACGTTTCCGTGCTGAGGAATCCGCACAGCTCTCCATGTGTTACCACAAGGCGGCACACGTCTCGGTGTCAGATGGAAAACAAACAGGCTGGTGGCACATTTTCAACTGCTCCTGGATTCTTCAAAATAAACTCTGGGTTGCTTTTCTTTTGGGGAGCACCAACTCTAAATCTGCAATATTTCACAGACTTCAGGTATGTTAGCGTCTTCTGAGAAAGGCCCAGTATTTCAGCATTCTCGGAGTGGCTGTGGAGAAAGAATGTTACTGGCAAGGAATATTAAACATCTCCAAGCTGAAAGGAAGACAGAGGTCATCCGTGAACGCACGCCTGTGTTTACGCGCTCACTCTAATGTCCTGTTTTCTCTTTCTTTTTGTTGTACTGGAGACTAAACCCAGGGCCTGGTGTCTGCAAGGCAAGCACCTTGATTCACATCTCTTTTTGATTTACCAGAAAAAATGTAATTTAAAGGCAGTTATTTTAGGTAGAGATGAATGTATCCATGGCCACAGTTCTGTCTCATGGTGCATGGACACAGGCGGCCCATGCACCTGTTGGCATTCCCTGTCCCCAAAAAGGTCACCTTTGATCATCCCTCCACACACACATGAAAACTGCCCACCTCCTTCAGAGGTCTTTTTTTTTTTTTTTTTTTTTTTTGTCTTTTTCCTTTTTATCGGTACCGGGGATTGAACTCATGACTGCCTGCCTTCAAGGCAGGCTCTTATGCCGCTGAGTTAAACCCCCAGCCCCCAGGGGTCCTTTTTGTGGGGGAATTTGGAGAAACTGGGTTGCCACTTCTTTTTAGGGAGAGAAAGAGTCTACTTTTTCATTCATTTGGCTCTGTGTTTTAACAAACTGAGTTGGAATACAGACCTGTATCAAGGGTGTGCACAGGCCCCCCAGGCCATCACTCACTCAGATGCTCTCCTGAGTCAGTGTGGAATCTCACCCCCAGGAATGTGGCAGGAGTGTGAAATACCTCATGGACCCCTTCCAGGGTGTGAAATACTTCAAGACCCCTCTTTGGCTTCAAAAGCAATCACCACCAAACATTTTCAATTCTGAGGCAGAGAGGACCAGAATAACCCAAAACACCTTTTCAGAAGACATTTAATGAGGTAGCTGAGATCAAACACCAAATCCACAGCGTACATCAAGGAGCTGAATAAATGCTCAGGCATTTTTAAATGCAAATGGCTACAGCGCCTAATAAATGCTTTCTTCCCAGTTCCTGCAGGTGCATGCAGACCTTAGGAAGGGGCCCTGCCAGGGAGCACGGCAAGAGAGAGGCTGGGACTGCGCGAAGCGGGCAGGAGGGGAATGCAAGGGTCCTCTGACCAGAAAAGCTTTGGCTGAAGAACCGCAGAAGCAACCAGAGCACCGAGCGGACCTCGGGGACGCGGCAGGCTGACAGGGCCCACGCGGGCGGCAGGGGGCCCAGGACCTGCAGCACTCAGCCTGGCCTGAGTCAGTGCGCCAAGCGTTCCCCTGCGGGGCACCCTCACTGCCAAGGGCCCTGGCGCAGCCTCCTGGAGAAGGGCCCGCAGGTTCCGGGAGAGCCCGGCTCCCAGCTGCGCAGCCCCAGTCACCTCTGCTGTCTGTTCACGGTGCAGACGCTGCGACCCACAGCTTCTCCGCAGTTGGGCGCAAGGGCCTTGTCCGTGGAGAGCAGGGAGGGAAAAGCGGCCACGCCAACCCCGGCAGCTCGGATTTGACTTCCGGCAACGCGAGCATCCAGCATTCACACACGTGTGCTCCTGTGATGCACACACTTGTACACACTCGTGAGCACACAACCTCACCGTGCCGCGCACACACACGCGCACGTGCACATGCGGTGTGTGGCAGCCGGGCCGGGAAGCACCCGCTGGCAGGCGAGGTCAGGACGCAGGAGGGCGGAGCGCAGGCGCTTGGAGCAGGGCTGGGCGGAGTCCAGGCCTCCAGGCAGCCCCTCGGTTCTGGGGCAGCAGCTGGCAAACCACCACGCAGCCACTGCGGCACGGAGGACAAGCGGCAGGCAGGCGCGCAGATCCCTCTGCTCTAGGTCTCCGGTGGAGAGTTGTAGGCCAGAGGAGGCAGGGCCGAGAAGCTGCTCCACCGCCTGGCGCCCGGCTGCGAGTCCACGCGCCCTTGCTCTTTGTATTTACCCAGAATGGTTTTGGCTTCTTCTGCATCCCGCAAAGGGTTCTCTCCGTACACTTCCCTCAGCCACCGCCGGTACTGAAGACATGGAGAACAGATCCGAAATGTCACCGGTCAGCACCCACGTTCTGCTTCACGGTACAGAAGCGCCTGCGAGGGCCAGGGCAGGGGGTGGCCAGCCAGTGCCAAGCCAGAGAACTGCCCTCCCAGCCCAAGGATGTGACCCCAAATCAAACCAAGGCACCTGCTGGGCAGAGCCAGGGCAGTTGCTGTCTGCAGCTCAGGGGCTCACGACAGAAGCAGGAAGAAAAGTGTCCTCCTGCTGTCCCTCTGACTGTGGCAGCTGAATCTTGGGGGAAACATGGAGAGAGCTGTTTCGCAGTGCTGGGACATGCTCAGAAAGAGGAAGAGCCTGTTCTAATCCAAAGAAAAACCTAAGCTTTGAGCTTACTTGAGGATGGTTGGAAAATACACTGTTACCTTGTTGATGGTGCCTTTAAAAGCTTAGATTAAAATGAGTTAAAAGAAAAAAACCCCAGCAAGCATGCTGAGGCAGTGGCACTGCACCCAGAGAGAGAGGCAGGAGCCACTGTGAGACCAGGCACAAGGAGGGTGCAGAGGGTGGGCCCTGGGCTGCAGCAGGGGCCGGGAACTGGGGACATAGAGGACCCGGTGTCCTCTGGGCCGCTTCAGTTCAAGGTGCTGGCAGACAGCTGGAAGGCGCCCCAGGGATGGCTCACCTGGTGGACCTCGTGCTGCTCAAACTCCTGCAGCTGCCGCTGGAAGCCCAGGTTTGGGTTGGCACAGGATCTCCCCGCACGCACAGTGTGCAGGGCGTCCTCCCAGCCGAAGTCGGTGACAGTCATGATGTACGCGATCACCAGTGTCACGCTCCTGGAGACCCCAGCCAGGCTGCAGGCAGAGACACGGGGAGGAGGGCAGTGTGGTTTGGGCGGGGGATCTGTCATGCAGCTCACTGCAGCAGGGGACCTGGGGACTTGCTCTACAGCCTTCCTGCCAGGCCTGCTCATGGACACAGGCAAGGGTGCCACCAGGCAGAGTGTGGCTTCCCTGCGCCCAAGACGCAGAGTCTCAAGCATGGCTTCGCAGCTCAGCCTCCTTTTCCACAGATTTTCCACAGTCAGGGCTCCAGACACCTCAGCTTTATGATTCTCTACTGCCTTCCTTAGACATGTCCCATTTCATTGGGTAAAACTAACCAGGAGGACTTCAGGCTTCCAAGACCTATGCAACAAACCCATTTATAACCTGCACTAATCTAGAACACTTCTTGTCTTTTATAGGTCTGGTTTGCTTAGCCACTGCATCGGAGGGCTAAATCTAGGATTTAAAAAGCCCATGACTCCAGGTGGTCCCGCCCAGTTGTGCTTCTGTGCTCTTTTTGATATAACTGCATAGCGCAGCAGAGAGCAACACTGTGAGCTCGGAGGCCAGGTCAGGGCACTGCGCAGTGACAGGCGTCTCATAGGCTGAGCACAGGACCAACCCCACACACATATGCAAATGAAGACAGTCACAGGCAGGCTGTGCTCCATCACACGCATGGTCCAGCAATGGGTTAGGATGGAGTTTAGCAAATGCCCCATTTTTATGTTTTATTTTTAAATTTTATTTTAAAGAGGGGTGTCTCAGTTTTAGAAAAGCACTATGTCCAGATGTCTGACACAAATTCCTAGCATATTAGGCCTGTGCATATTCCAATACAAATCATAGTAATGACCCCACTCTCAGGTGTGGCTCCTTACTCAGGGTTTACATCAGGCACACCAAGAGGCTTTTACACATACACAGTGCCCTGGACTGCAACCCGGAGATGCAATTTACCAGAGCCTGGAGAGGCCCCAGAATGGAGCTGCAGAAATTCCGCTTATGTCTCCAAATGCACCCTCAAGGCTTCTGAGCCCAGTGTAGCCGAATGTTAGAACTCCTGTTGGTATTTATTATATTTCCTGTTCTTGTAAAAAGTGAAATGAAGAAGAAAATCACAGCATTGAAATCTGTGTGGGTTATTGGACGTGGCTCTCCAGTCACTGAAGTGCCTCAGGTTGCCCCGCCTTGGGCTCTGGCCCTCGGAGTGCCCCGTGGCTTTCCTCAGTGTTTCTCTGGCCAGCAGGTGTGGCTCCCCTTGCCTGGTGGGGCTGGCAGCAACCTGAGCAGCAGCTCTCCAAGGAGCTGTCATTGTCACATTTCCTAAGAGCTCACACTGCAAGGGTGCTGCTGTGGGGAGGTTAAAAGATTGCTGCGCTTCTCGTTAATTATTGTCACACCTTGTTCAAGACAGCAAGGAGACAGGTCCTAGACGACAGGGCCTGGCCCCAGAATGTTGGCTGTTAGCTCCCGAGACATAGGAGCTGAGTGACTGTATGATTCCTGGCAGCAACACAGTGAAAGCCAGCTTGTGCTTCCAGCTTTCTATGTGCCAGGTAACTATCTGCAAAGAGCTTTATACTCAGTGTCTTTGGGTTGAGTATGTTAGAGTAGCTTTCTTTTCAGTGTGTGTGTGTGTGTGTGTGTGTGTGTGTGTGTGTGTGTGTGTGTACCACTGTCCCTTAGTACCCATGGGACACTGGTTTCAGGACCCACTGCAGATACCAAAATCCATGGGCGCTCAAGTCCCTTATATGGAATGGTGTGGTGTCACCAAGAACCTGTGAAATTCTCTCACATGCAAAACAGCTCACTCATTGCTTACACTATTTGCACCATGTGTTCAGCTGTCCTATCACAGTGCTCTGGCAATTGTGACATGGGAAAAAGTCTGCATATGTTCAGTGCAAATGCAAAATTCTTTCCCAAACATATGCGATGCATGGTTGGTAGAATCCATGGATTCCAAACCCACAGATATGAAGGGTCCAGTAGCCTTGACTATCCCACTAGAAATCCTAACAATGAATGAAATTTAAAAAAAATGCTGCTGAGAATCCAGATGACCAGGACACGTTAGGGTCTTGTTCAGCCAGAGATGTACGTACCAGTGCACAAGGCAGCCTTCCCCCTGCAATCGGCACTCGTGGATGAATTTAATGCTTTCTTTGAAGTGTCTTGTCCTAGGCACAAATGATAAGAGAGAGACAGAGAGAGAGAGAGAGAGAGAGAGAGAGAGAGAGAGAGAGAGAGAGAGAGAGAGAGAGGAGAGGTCTCTGTTACTCAGTGTCACCTAAAGTTTGTTGAAAGGTCTGAGGCCACACCTTCAAAACCTGCTCATGCTGCTAGGGCTGGGGCTGCACACTGAGGTCAGGGAAAGCTGCTATTTGGAGTCTTTTGGGATTTCTCAGTAAGGCATCCCTGGAATACATCACTGCCAGGGGCTGGTGGTTCCCGTGCAGCTTGCTGTGTCCAGTCTGAGCCAGCAGCAACCTGAGATGCTCAGGTCTGCTGGGGACATGGCCCAGTGATAGGGAGCAGGTGAGGGTGGTGTCCAGGCGGGGAAGGTGCCCAGGTTCATGCTGACAACCTGAGACCTGAAAACCCCTCGGTGGCCTCCCTGAGCTCTGGGGGTCTTTACTGCATGTCATGGGAATGCCCTGGGGAGACAGGAATTTCAGCTCTGAAGCCTTGCTCTGGGGCTTCCTGGGGGCTGGGCAGGCGCCTAGAGATCTAGTAGGGATGCTGTCCAAGGGCAGCCAGTGACTCAGGCCCAAGTGCCCTAAATGACAATGGACGCTCTGGCCTGCCCCCTTCTGAAACTCTGCCCCCACTGCCGCCCTATCTTTCTTGTTCACTCATTGAGCCCTGGACTGATCAGGGGCGCCTGCCCGTTGGCCTCCTTGCTGGGAGCCTTTCAGAGGACGAGGTCAGAGCCAGCTCACCAGAGACGGCCAGGCAGGATGCAAGCCCCACAGTGCTGAGTTCGTGCCAGCACCTGTGCCTGGCACCACACTTCCCTTTCAGCATGGCTGAGCATTCGCCAGGGACTCTAAAAGCTGCAGGACAGCAGGACAGTCCACGAGGAGTGGGACTCAGTTCTGACTGCAGAGTGACAGCTGCTGAGATGAATAGGAAAGGAAGCTCCTGTATGGCTCAGCAAGGTCACCAGCTGAGGACCACAGCAAAAGTCAACAGTCTCAGCAGAGGAGCTGGGTTGGCGCAGGTAGGAGGCAAAGGGAATGTAAATGTGCACGAATGCACATGCATTCTAAGGATCCCACGCCATCAAAACTCGCAAGTGTCGGAGGTGGAATGTCCAAACAGACCAAGCCAAAGCCTCCACCTGCAGTTGCTAAGCAACCCGGCACTGCAAGATCAGATGCAGCTTGGGGACCGATGCTGCCTGATGTAAACTTACAACGTGGCTCAGAGGACCACAGCGGTGAGTGCACACACGGGGCTGGTTTACAGCAGCAAGATAGCTTTCTCACTGTGTCACCTCCACAGCTGAAGCCTTAGAGCTGAGACTTATGCAGCCTGTGGCAGCCAGTCACAAAAGTCAAGTGTGCTAAGGAGTCAGGTGGGTCCTGGGGAGACTTGGTGAGTGAGCACTGTGCCTGAGTAAGGCGCCAGGCATCCCTCCTGAGGGCTGCAGGAAGGAGAGCCAGCTGGGCGCTGGTGGAGCTGCCACCTGTGGCTAGCAGTGAAGTCTCTTGATTTTGTGCAGAGCAGCAAAGTCCTGAGAATCTCCTGTCTTTCTCCAACTGTGACCAACACGAGTTGGAGAGAAGGCAGTGGTGGGTGCCTCTGGGGACTTTTTCCATTCCTGATGAGAGAGAACAGTCTGTTTCTGCAGATCTTGCCAAGGATTTGCAAACACAATGCTCAGGGATGCACAGCTGCCATGGCCACAACAACAGCCTTGGCGGAAGGGCACAGGGTGAGGAGACCGGGCTCTAGGAAGATGCCAGGGCCTGCCTGCTCTGTGTCCTCCCGGAAGTCTCCATCCTGAGGATGCTGCCAGTCAGGTTTTCCACTCACACCCAGATGCACCCTGCATGACCCCAGCACCTCTTCAGCAAGTTACCAGCTCCAGTGAACGCCCGGGCAGCAGTCTGCTCTCTGCTAGTGTGGCGAGCAGGGTGGCCCTCTTGCCAGTCTTTCTGCATGACGGGCAGGCTGGAAGGAGGAGGGCTGTGACAGGCTGTCCAGATTCCAGGACCCTCTGCACTGGCTGGCCACAGGGTTTCTCTCCTGGGCTCAGGTGCTCACAGGGTCTCTTCCCGGTCAGTGAGTTCTGGGTCTTCGAGTGCTGGCGAGGAAGAGTGTAGCAGCCAGAAAAGCCAAAGCACTGCTGGGAATGATGTGGAACTCAGAGGGAATGAGGGTGTCCCAGGGCTCCTTAGACAACACTGTGAGATGGCACAGCCACACAAAGTGGGCAGTGACTCCGTCATCGAGACCAGGACTTGGTCTTAGGGCTCTGGCTGGGTCTATGGGACCATCAAGGCTTCCGAGACTGAGTCCTTCCCCTGACGCTCTGGGGTGGGAGCCACTCCACAGATCTGCTTTTCACACCTGCGCATCATGGGCACACACAGTGGGATGGAGCTTCTTATGCTGCAGATGAAGTCAGGTTTGAGGGCCTGCCTTGCTGTATGACAAGGGATGTATGCTCATCAGGGTGACAGCCACACCTGTCCCAGGCCCAGTATGGGTCTGTATAGAAGCCGAGGGATCGGTTTGGTGAGGTCCCCACCTTGGCCCTGCTGGCTCCTTCCTCTAGGGGCTGCTGTAACAAAAGTCCAGTCCAGGACAATCTCCTGTCCACTGGCGTGTCCAGGGCAGGCACTTGTAACAGGGCCCTTTGCACTCCCAAGGGGAGGGCTGCACAAAGCTCCTGCTTGAAGCCTGACTCACTCACACCCTAGGCACCAGGCCAAGCCAGGAAGCCATTCCTAGAAATGCCTTTTCCAAGAAGAGCCCAGGGCTGGCATGCTCAGGTCTGCTCTGGAGTGAAACCGTGTGTGGGTTATTTCCAGGGAAGCTGGTGACATAAGCCCAAGCTCTGGTCATTGAATGCCCCCCTCCACAGTGGGAAATACCCATGGCCTAGGTTCTTCTATTTCTCAACTCCAGTTCAAAGCAGAAGCACAGATCTAAAGCACTAGCCACCACAAGCTGTTTCAATGGACACCAGTTCCTTATTCTCGCTCTCGGGGGGCTGGCAGCTAACCTTTGCTTCCACGCTGAACACACTGTGAGCTCTGTCTGCAGAGCTGAGTTCATCCACGGGGCACGTGACCTGCAGGTGCCTGTAACCCACCCTGGGCGGCAGGGAGTGTCCATGAGAGGCATCCTCTTGTGGGTTCCCCAAGTGGCTCAGCGGTGTCATCTCTTCCTCCTCTCCCAGGGACCAGCTGGGCCTCCAGACCTTCTGAGGGTCCAAGAAAGGATGGTGGGGAGATCACGTGCCTCACACCACACAGTGCTCGTTCTTCAAACTGAGTGATTATCACAGAGCAAGACGGGGATATTTGGAGGCTGAGTCCCATTGTGGGATCTGAGACAGTCCTGATCTACTCAGCAGGCCTCTGCCTGCGGAGGGGTCCAGGACCTGGCCACCTGAAAAGGGAGGTGGCTGCACCTCAGAGCCAGAGCTAGCAAAGGAGGATGCAGGACACTGTGTGTGTGTGTGCGTGCATGCGTGCGTGCGTGCGTGTGTGTTGGAGTGGGGTGGGTAAATGAAAGCAAAAGGAGAAAAATCTCAGGAAAGGCAAAGGCAAGCATCCTTAGTTTTTTTCTTAGAAAGAAACGCTTTAAAAACAAACAGGTTAAGTGTTCTATTTGAGCCCAGTCTTCAGAAGTCTTAGATCCCAGCTCCTGCCTCCTATGGCGGAGCTGGTCTGGACCCCACACCCCTGTGGGGTATAGCTTCCTCTGGACCTCTACAGGCAAAGCCCCTACTGCAACTCCACTGGAGCAGGAGCAGAGTGGGGGGCGTCTCTGCCCTCCTGACAGGAGGGGCATTGGACATGCAGCATGGACTCATGTCTGTGCCCGGGAGCCCCAGACTTGTCGGTGCCATGCACTGTGTGTATTTTGAAACACAGGGAGCTGGGGGTGTGGCCTAATGGCAGGGCACATGCTTAGCAGACACGAGGTCCCCCTAAAGAAACCGAGGGGTGCATATGCCATGCTTCTCATTTGGTCAAATAAAATTATTTTTAAAGCAAATTAACAAAACAAACACAAAGATAAGCAAAACATCGCTGTCATCTACTACAGCATCATTTCAAAAATGAAAATATTTCAACACCAAAAAAAAAAAAAAACCAAAAATTAAGAACAGTCTGGACAAAAAGACCATGTTTGGAGCTGAATAGGTGAAGTTGTAGGGAATGCTGTTTACATCCTTCTCAGAGTTCTCACCTTCTCCTGTGGGAGCAGAGAGTGCCTGTGGGCAGCAGAGCTGCAGAGACCGAAGGGGAGCAGGGCCACTGGGTTCCAAATCCCGCCAGCTCTGCTGTCTACAGCTGCTCTTTAATAATGAAAGCCAAGAAAAAGGAAACCAGAAAAAAAAAGTGTGTGTGTGTGTGTGTGGGGTGGAGGGCAGGGACTTGGAAGCGTAAATGGTATCATTTAGACAAAAGGGCACAAGACAGAGTTGGGAGGACAAGAGGTCGAGGAAGTCTCTGGTGTTTTAAATATAAGCTTTCTGTATTGCTAATGCTTCTCCTTTGCACAAAAACCTCAAGAAATCGAGAGACCTGCTTGGCTCTCAAACCGCTGAATGTCATAAAGCGTTATGATGCAAAACTGTGGCTCCAGCCTGGCAAAAGCCAAGCTCCCTGGACTCCACCGAGAAGCAAACAAGAGGTAACCGGGGACTTAGTGATGTCCCACACCCAACACCAGCTTCACAAGGCTGAACTAAGAGCACACGGATGCAGGGTGAAGCATTTCCAACCATTCACTCTCAAAAGAAACTAATACTTCCTACTGGGGAGACATAAACTATAACCTTAGTTTTGGAAAAGCTTTGTGCTCATAAAAAAATACTTTCACTTATTTAACACTGTAAAACCCCATGAGACAGGCATTTTATAGATGAGAGAAGTGAGATCAAAAGGACTTGTTTAGAAAAACCCAGAGAGAAAACAAAAGCAAATAAAAGATTTCTAAAACCTTTAATTTGCCAGCCCCTTGACACTGGCCACGTGGGGAACTCGCACTGGACACACACGCTAGGGCTCTCCGACAACAAAGCCAGGGAGAGCACCACATGCGTCGGGGTGGACCGAGAACTTGAACTTTAAAATTTCACAGCGTGGCAAGGCTCGTGGTTGGGGGAACCGAGCTAAAATTTTATGTTATCTCAAACCTGCTGTCTGCATTTGAAGTTCCTGGAAGTTGAGAAGCGGAGAGTTTTTGAGGGTTTGGGGCAAGAGAGAAAGCGACCTTTTGGGGTGTTTGGCAGCTGCCAGCAGTCGGTCTCAAAGGTCACAAGCCTCCTGCTAAGCACAATCGGCCAGAATTCCTGCTGGATTTCTAGGGGAAGATTAGGATATAAAATGCTAAATTATATTCAAAGTTGGAAATCATTTTAAAAATCTGAACCTCAATGTAAAACAGTGAGTGGTACCATTTCCCAGAATTTATTTTGCCACTGAATGGAGGAATTCAATCCAGACTAAAGAGCTACTTCTAACTGACTGCACTTCCTGGAGCATGCTCCATGGGGACCGGCATGGCTTGTCTGGCTTTTGTTGGCAGAGCATGAAGAATATTTGCTTTGTGACCACCCACATTATTTAATGGTACAGAAAGCAAAGGTTCACATCAGGAGGGATATTTGGCGAGCAGTAAATACAGGAAACCTTAAATGCATGAAGCCATAGAGAACCAGGCATTCTGCCTGCCAGCTTTAGGTTAATCTCTTGACCACCACGCAAGCCTGCTCTCTGCAGTTTGTATGCATGCCCCCAAACTCATGTGCTGGAGCCCTAATTCCTCAAGACAGCAGCACTGGGAGGTGGCCTGGTGGGCAGTGCTGGGTCACAGGACTGCGCCCTCACAAGTGGGCCGATGCCTCCTCCGGGGTGGGCTCACCAGTGGGCCCGGGTGTGTGGCTGTGTCCTGTCTTCAGCACGAGCTCCCTTTCCTCTCCCCTTTCTGCCAGGTTAGGAAGCAGCACAATGGCTGCCCTAGATGTGGGAGCCCAATCTTGGACTCCAGAACTGTGGCCCCAAAGAAACCTTCTTCTGGTACAAATAAGAAGCCTCAACTATTCTGTTATAGCAACAGAAAAAGTATTAAAACACTTGCCACTGAAAAGCAAGCTATGCTTTCCACAAGAAACACTTTCAGTGGGGAAAGTGGAAAGGTACTTGTGAGGCTGTCTGTTACCAATCCAAAAGACACCCCGAGTTCCATACTCCACTCCACGATCTCTGTGTAACTCCTGTGCAACCAGAAATATTTACAATCATGGTCCCTCGTGCACCAAAAGCCTTCCCTGTGCATAAACCTTGTTACAGAAGCAGGAGCACAGAAGTTTCCCAGGAGACCCACAGGATCTGAGCACAACCCCCACCCATGGCGGGTCTGCCTGTCTCTCGAGTGATGTCATGATCTTGGCTTCCTTTTCCAGAAGTTTCTCGGCTACAGATCCCACTGGGAACAGCAGTGTGCATGCATTCTACACACATTAGCTGAAAATTGGCTCCTGCCCTTGCTACCTGAGCCTAGCATTCCTGAGGTCCCACCAGAGGTAAGCGGAGGATTACCGGGATGCACAATGCCTCACTGCACACCAGGACTGGGACACTGCTAATCATACTTTATGGGCAGTCCTCCGGCCCTGGTGACAGCTTTGGGCTGGTTTTGCCAGAAGATTTCAACTGACCCACCAGAACCCGCCACTCGGAAAAGCAGCTGGCTGCCTTCCCCGGGGGTGGGTGAGCACCTTCCAATGCTCGAAGCACGCTTCCTGGTTCTCTCTCAGGACACATCGATGCCCTCAGAGCAGGAATTACATTCTGATTTTCTGAAGCTCCTAATGTCCATGGAGAATACAGACAGACGTATGTTGACCTTGCCTCCCCAAATCCTGCAGGCAGGCATTTTTCAGATAAAAGAACAAGATGCAGTAAATTAACTTGCCCAAGGGGGGTGGAACTCTTTTCCAGTTAGCGATTTCCTGACACCTCGTTTCATTGCTCACTTGTCTACAAAGCAGAATGGCTCAGCACTTAGGTAACTGTCCCGACATCAAAGATGGTGTTCATATCAGGAAAAAGCACATGTCTGGGAGCAGCTTGAGGGTGAAGGCTGTCTGCCCAGAATGTGCTACAGTGCCATTTTACTATGGACTCGAACTTGGGTATCGACAACTCCAGCAACAACGCAGTCTTGGCTGGAAATAAGAACAGAGCAACCATTCCAAAAATAGCAACCAAAACACGGGCAGAAGATTCTCTGGTCTTCAGAGAAAAGCAATGGCTCACTTCCTTCCGTACAAACCATGTCCTTCCAACCACTTCTGTTTCTTGACACGACCAGTAACCAGGGAAGTTCTCTAAGCTGCTCCCCTCCTTCCAGCCCCGCCTCTCCTCTCCTTCAGCAACAACAGCCAGTGTGGAAGCACAGCCCCAGGGGGACACACTTGCCTCAGCTTCCCCTGCCCAGGATCTTCCTGCTCTAGCTCTGCACCTGGGGTCGCCGGTTGCCACCTCAGCTCTCCCCACAGTGATCTGTCAGCACTGGCCCTGTTTTTGTTTCCACAGATAGACCTCACACATGACTCCACAGTCCAGGACTTCCCAGCTTTTCCAGCAGTGAAACCTCAAGGTGGGCTGATGTCCCATTGTCCAGTTATTTTAGGAGAAGCTGGTCACTCGGGACAGGAAACCTAAGCGAGTGGCCTGTACTCTGGTAGGCATGATTTGTTTGCACTATGCTTGTACGTAAGCCAGTGGACTTCCAAACTCACAGCATCACAGAGGGTATCGCTTCCCTGCAATTCCAGGAGAGGTGTGCCTCTGGCTTCCCATATGCAGCACTGGGCAGCCTGGGCTTGGCTAGACGCACGGAGGGCCAGGTACTTTACTTCTGCACCCAGCACTTTGGTCCAGCAGGGCCCATGGTTCAGGAAAACTATAATTCCTTCCATGCACGGTCTTTCTGAGTGACTTTGGGACAGCCAGCATCATGCCCCGCACCATGCCCAAGCCTGGTCCCATCACTTTTGTCAGACTGCCTTGAAAAGGTTGTGACTAAATTTCTCTCTACAGGTACAAAGAGTCATCAGATATTCACTCAGCTGTGAAGAAACAAGGACTGAACTTTCAAAAACCAGAAAGCTCTGGCCACGCCGCTCGGACAGACTTAGGGGTAGGTGTGCACTCGGAGGCCGAGTGCTACACATGGCTGCTGGCACATGAAGCACATTCGGTGCACACAAGAGCATGCTGGTGCAAAGAGCTCAGGAGGGTGCACAGAACTCTCCAGTGAAGACATGTGTGCTACAGGCCTGGTTTCAAGTGTCCTGTGTAAGAAACAGACCCTCCTTCTGGACATCCCAGCTGTCATGGGGCACAGAGGGAGGACAGGAAGGGGACCACCCTCCACTGCTTGCCCACCATGGCCAGCTCTGCCTGCCTCCTGGTAGCAGCTGTGCAGGGTCACCAGGGCCCCGAGCTCTTTTCATCCTTTACTTGCTCGGCTTTAAGCTGTATTCATTTTAATATCACTACATAAGACCGAAAAGCAACTTACAGGTTTTGAGATGGCGAATCCGCTGCTGGAATGCACAGGTATTTAACTCCCTGTGGAATGATAAAAACATACTTATAAATAAAAACAAAAAGCTGATCCTTAGTGGAGAAATGTATTTAAAGGAACTATTTACTTGGGTCAAAAACTAAAAAGAAATAAAAAGGAGAAGTTTTTCATTCATCTTTTGTTGCCAAGAAACTGAGGAAAAACTCTTTAATTAAAGTTCCTGGGTTTTTCCTGTGGTCATTTACACAGATATTAGTGCTCTGTGGTATAAACAGCTATAAGTTTAGACAAAATTCCAAAAGTGCATCACAGAAGTGTGGAAGTTGATTCTGAGCAAGGGTCAACAAGTTTCAAAACCATCAGCTCAGATGCTTTTGTGTATAGTGCAATTTTTATTTATTTCACTTGGAACCTTGAGTATCCAAAAGGGTGGAAACCTTAAAGAAAGGAGCCCAATCTGTCATTTACATCTTTGTAGGTTCATTTTTTATATCACAACAACTACAATTTCACTAGTAGGAGCTTCATAGACTGCCAATAATCTGCTTTATTTTCTTTGCTTTTCAGAATAGTACAAGTTTATATATCAAACTAACATACGTCTTTAAAAGGAAGTGTCTAATCAGAACAGAAATGAACTGCAACCCGGGCCTCTATAAAAATCTAAAAAAAAATAAGTTGAGTTTTTAAAGTCTGCTTTGTTTCTCTACTAGAGGGACTGACAGTAAAGATCAAAAAGCCTTCAATATCAAAGAAAATAAAATATATAAAAATTTCAGTAACACTTGCAAGCATATACAGTTTTATAAGGAATGAAATGGACCATTTAAAACTTCTTCCTATTGCCTGATCTCACAGAATCTTGTCCCAATGTCAGGGACAGTGGGGGAGACATGTGAGAAACTAGAAATATAACAGATATAACAGAATACACGAAGAGCAGTGTGAAGAATAATGATAACACAATCCCGTCCTTCCAAAGACAAAGCCATAAGCGCCTTGTCTTCTGCAGTTATTTGAAAGCACTGTTATCCCTTTGCTGCCAGCCGCACTATGAGGAGTTTCTGTGCCTGTCTGGCTGATACGTAGTCTCGGAGGCAGTGTCTAAATCCACACTCTGACAGGCCCTGCCAGTATGCATCTGCTCCACCCTGCAGCAGGGTCCTCCACTCGGCAGCCTGCCTGGCCCTCTGGGTGCAGGCAGGTGGGCGGGCCTCAGGGAGCGGAGACACCTGGACCCAGAAAGGTAGGTGGGTGGTGGCCTGGCCTTGCAGCCACGGGGCTCCTGGGCTGCTGTGTGAGATCCGGTTGTTCCTGGAAGTTCATCTCAGAGTCCAGGTCCCTACAGCTGCTGGGCAAACCATCAGCTTCCAACCAGATCCTAAGGAACCCTTCCTGCTAAAACCTGCCCAGAGTGGGATCTGCTGTCTGCAGCCCGAGTGAGTGATACTGCCGCCCGCACATTAGCAGAGGCTGCAAAGCAAAGCAAAACAGAACGTTTTCCCTAAACACTTGCTATGTGTTTTTCCAGCTCTGAAAAAGTCAGTTTAATCAGGATTTGAAAAAAAAATCAAACGATTACTAATCACATTGGCAGTGGTAATATGTCTTCTAGTAATGGCTCCATCTTGAATGAGTTTTGAGAGAGTTTCACCTCTGTTTTCCAATCAGTGGCATTTCCCCAAGGGTGGGCTTTTGCCATGCTGAAGGCTGAACTCCAGGGTGCCCTGGCAGAGGAGGAAAGGAAGCAGCAGATCCTTCCCGTTCACTGCCTCCTGTCCTCTCTGTCGCCAAAAGTTCCCCCGGGCTGTGTTGGGAGTGTGGAACACTGGCCTGAAGTCCAAGTCTCTCCAGACCAGAGAAAGCGCCCAAGACTTACGGGGCACAGCAGCCGAGGAGGAAATGTCACCGTACAGAGAAACAGTCATTTCGCTCCTGCTGCCCTTCGAGGCCGATCGCGCTGCTCGATTCAGCTGCACACAATGCTCGTTTCCTACAGCTGCCAATGAAATGACTCAACTGCCTTTTTGCTTTTAAGTGAGAGTTAATATTGGGTCTGGTCCAGAAGTTTGTGAAATCCCTTCTTCCCACACACTTCCTCCAAGCTCCCCTCTGACCACACTTCCAGGGGGCCAGGCCAGGAGGTTTTGCAAGCAGCCACCTCTCCTCCACTGTTGCCACCGCCGTGTCAGCAACTATAAGCCGGCCGGGCACCCTAGTGCACCTGAGAGACAGGGCAAGAACGGCCCCCTGTCCCAGATGGCACTGGACGGCCTCTGGTGGGGTCCCCATCCAGCCCAGCATCCACCCCAGCCTGTCTTGGCACTGGGAGCAGCACAGCCGAGTGACAAGTCCACACACACTCGGGTGACACTGGCCTACTTCCTGTCCACTCTGGGGGACCAGACTCAGAGTCCCTTCCACCTTCACCTCCAACTGGCATGCAAATTCAGCCATGGAAAGAGTCAAAACTGCCTGAGGGTTCAGCTGCTTGCCGCCCAAGAACATCTATTTATTTTGGCTTAGTCATTAACAAAGCACAGATCTCTTTGAGACCACAGATGACAGAACTAGAGCTGCTTTAAAAAGGCTTCGGATGCCTGCACCCGCGCCCGGTTTATGGCAGTTAGTTACTAATTCAGAAAGCAGTGTGCAGACCCCAGGGCCTCCAGACAGCTGGGCAGACCCAGAACTATCCTAGGGCTAAGGAGCTCAAGTGCGCCCCAAACTTTCATGAGATATGGAGGAGATGTTTCCTCTCCAAAGACCCACACAGAGACTCTGGTGTGAGATTCGGAGACAGAGACAGTGATCAGCTACAGGATGTGTCTAGCATATGATGAAAAGTATAGCAAACTTGGAGGTAAGAAAGGAATAACTTCTAATGCTAGAAGAACCTGAGAAGCTCATCAGTAATTCAAGCAGCAGCAGATCTTCTGGTGGGACAGACAGCGTGGGCTGCATGGTATTCATACCCTCCCATCACCTCTAAAATTTTGGAAAAGCATAAAAATAAGGCTGGCTACCTTTTCCCCTGAAAGAGAAATCTCGCTAAGTAAGTCGAAAGCAGCACTCTCCATCGTGTTCAAGAAAGCACACTGCAGTGACTCACGGAGTTGTTTAATGTCCAGTGATTGCTTTTTGACCTGCAGAGTCTGTTTCCTATCGCATCGAAACGCAGAACCGAGCCCAGGAAGCAGAGAGGGCTCTCATGTGCTGTGAGACAATTCCTCTGAGTGAGGAAGACAAGACAGCAGGTCTCTGGGGGCTGCGTGGCGCTGGAGGCTGACACGTGTGGGGGATGCAAGCAGCAAGGAGGATGAGGCGGACGGCACGGGGAGGAAGAGGGGAGAAGGAAGGAAAAGCCTTTGCTTCTGCACAGGCAGCAGGACGCACAGAGATCCCAGTCAGCGGGAAGCCAGGTGGTGAACAGCCAGGGACACACAGGGAGGGAGGAAAGAGCCAGGGAACAAGGAAAGAGCGCTGAAAGCTTGCTGGTCACGGCCTGGCGCTCTGGTTCTGAAAGGCAGGACGGGGCTGGGGTGAGCTCGAAAGCACTCGGGAGGCTGTGTGAGCCAAAGGTCACGACTCTCTGAGCCCCCTGTCTCTGAAGTTCTGACACTTCTCAGTTTTCTGTTTCAACGAGTAACCACCAAAAGCAAGGTTTTAGCCTTTCTTTGGGCCTGAAACTAGAGATTACACTTAAAATGATACACAAACACCAACTTAGAAAGCAGGGCTGAGATTCTGATTGCAAGACTAGAAAAGAGATCAAACTCTCGCTTGTTTCAAGTGTAATTTCTAAAATTCACCACTGTTTTCTTTCTCAGGCATCACAAGAGCGAGTCTCAGGGAGAACCTGAAGGCCAAGCTGCTTTTCCAAAGGAAGATCCTGCCAGGCCTGCGACACTCACCAAAAGCAGCCATGCCACAGACCATGCTCCGCAGTCCAGAGCTGCGTGGACAGAGGTGGAGGACAAGGGCAATCCGAGGAGTGGGCCATGCCTGTAGCACAGCGACCAGTACTGCACAGCCTTCCTGATATGGGGAGGAGAAGCAAGCTGCTCTGTGAGGAGAGTGGGGTCATGGGGACCAGAGCCCAGGAGAGTGTAGGGGTGGATGGTTAGGGTTAGGGTTAGCATTGCAGCGGGTCAGCAGGAGGACGCTCACTGCTCTGCAGCCCAGTCTGAACCCTAGGTTTCCTGTCCTGGCCCAGCTGGTATCGGAGACAGGTTGGGTAATCCCAAGGAGTCTTCTCAGGGGATGGTGGCTTTGTCACCAGTTTAAAAGATATGGGAGTAATTCTGAGCTGGGCTTGCAACACACACACATGTGCACACACACACATGTGCACACACTTACAGGCATGTGCACATACACATCTTCATTCCCACTGATCCCAAATATCCCAGAAGTAGCTGATAGGAGCAAGCCCATGGCTCCAAACTGACTCTCTGCAAAAAGATAAAATTAAAAACCAAATTTAAATCTGGACTTCTCTCACCTAAATAGCCCCTGACAACTACTATTCTCTTTTCTACTGCTGTGAGTCCAATCACATCTATGTCTTCACATAACCCTAATGGCATGGGCTCTGAAGACAGCCTGGACTCTTGAAGGCCGAAGGTTCAGGAGCCAGGGATGGCCCTGGTGTAATTGTTCTCTGGGTTCCTGCAGTGCCTTGTGTGCAGGTGTCCCCTCTGAAAGGGTCTTCACTCCGGAGAAGATACACAGTACAGGCCTCATCACCTGCAGCCAGGCCCACACATTTGCTCCATTATTTGTCTTTAAGAATTTACACCCAGCCTATAAGATCTGTAGAAAATATGTTCTATTAGAGAGAAAAAGGAGTCAGCCCTACATTCCTGGGAGATTATACCTAGAAAACTTCTTTAGGCCTAAGAACTAAGTGTGAAATTCAGTGCAAAGAAATAAGAATATATGAAGTCTGGGCTGAGAGTCTCCTCTCTTAGTGTTGTTATCACAGGCAGAAAACGATTAAGAAATTACAGTAGAAAATCACCACCCAAGGGAGCTGCGGTGC